GGAGAGTAAAAGAGAGGGGAGAGATACTTTCAGACTTGCAAGATCCTGTTACTGTAACCTTACACTAAAGGTAAAGTTAGTACTCAAGGTTGGTGTTTCTTGAGACCAGTTGCTTGGAAAAGGATCAGAGAGGCAGCGGATCCGCTTGCTCCTGGAGTGTGTGGACAACTTTGGTGTGCCTCTCGGGTCTTCTGTGCTGTGCTTTTTGCCCCTTGAGACTTCACTCCCATCCAGGGCTGTGGATTGTTCTTTGGCTTTTCTCACAGTTCAGGGGGTCCGAATGGATCTTCCTGTTCTGCCTCCCCAGGCCTGCGGTAGAGCTGGGTAGGCTGGGTGGAAAGGTGTTCGTAGCGCTGGATCTGGAAGTGGAGACGTGGGGAGGGACGGTGAGAAGAAGAGGCTTCCCAGGCGTGTCCCTGAAAGGGAGACTCTCAGGACTTGGGCAGAAACCTCTCCTGTGCTTCAGGAGCAGCTTTTGAGTGGGTTTGGGGTATGCATGAACCAGCTGGGTTTCCTTTAGACGCATGCAAAGTGTGCCGCCCCCTGTGCTTTCCCCTTGATCGTAGCCAGGGAAGGCGGGGTGACTAAGTTCACGCACAAAATGGGTCAGATTAAGGTGGACATGGAGCAGAGTTGTCTTAGGACCTCATGGAAATGTTTTCCAGGTTTATGGTGCATCTCTGCATGTGCTGATAATTTCCTTAACACTTTGTTTGACTTTATTTGGAATGGGAGTCCAGGTGGATACAACAAGGTAGGCTGGAAGCGGACTTGTAGCTGGTGTCTTCTGGAGGCCCAAGACGGGTTGTACGACCTTGTAGTCTCAGTCCCAGGAATTGGAGGCTGCAGCTCTTACCTCGGAGTCAGGTAAGAGCTGCAGGATTTAATTTCTGAGGAAGCCTGTACAGAATTGCGCTGTGTTTCCTTCATTTCCCCCTGTTCTTCCTGATATCATTCTTAGAAACCAGTTTGGTAGCTTCTTAACGCTGTTTCATACTGGAAAGCAGCAGGCTGTTTTGGTTTCCTCTGACTCAGTAGGTGCAGCAAGGCTTACAGTGTTGGGTGCTAAGATGAGTCAGGTGATACTCTGGACATAGAGCAAGAACTAGGGTATAAATGGATTTTAATTGTAAGCTGCCCAGAGTCACCCTCTGGGGGAGAGGGGCAGCATATAAATGTAATAATAAATAAATAAAAATAAAATAAAGTGAGTCTTAGGGAAGAATGGGTGAAACTAAACCATAGAGAAATCTGTTGAGGAAGTGAGATTTTCTCCAGCAGATGGAGAAGCAAAGCTTAGAGCGCTCCCTGAGTTAGGAGGCACATCAGGCTGGCCCTGGCCTATTCGAGAAGTCCTTTCTTCCCAGCTGGAAGGAGGAAGTTTAAGGCTCCAGAGTAAGAGCGTCCTCAGGGCTCAAGTCCTTCCCCGTTTCTGGCTTCGGTTGATGCTGCTGCTGGCAAGATGGAGCATGTGCTGCGAGAACAGCACCCAAGGCACTTTTACAAGATGATGGAAGCGATTCTGTCCACTGAGCAAGAGGATAGCAACAGTTACATTAACTGTGACAGGTACAGGACGTTGATCAAGGAAGTTAAAGAGGCGAAAAGGCTCCGGAGCAAAGAAGGCAAACGTTACTGCTGTCTGAGACGCTTCAGCGTTCTCAATGTTGGTGCAGAAGAGAAGAAGACAGCGTGCCCGTCTCGCCCGGACATACTGAGGTGGTATCTTTTGTGCAGTATGAGGATTTGTTTGACACTCTGCATGCCGTTCATGTTGTGATTGGCCATGGAAGCCCAACAAGGATGCTGAAGGAACTGAGTACAAAAGTACAAAATTGTTACTGCCAAAGCAGTCATGATGTACTTAAAGCTGTGCGAGTTGTGCCAGAAAAAGCAGAATGGACTGAACAAAGGTTTTGTAGGAAGGCCTGCCTTGCGTGGTGAAATGGATTCACGCTGTCTGTTTGGTATCACTCACATGTGGCACAATTTGTTTCATAAACTCAAATTCACAGTATGGCATGATTGCTTTGGAAGAGAACTTCAGAAAACGGATGATAAAGCTTTGGGGGGGGTTTACATTATCTGTTCTGTTTTCTCTGCTGTAGTAATGGCAAAAAACATGAAGTCATATAACTGGGAAAAATTGCCAGGTGTGGGGTAAAGATACCTTTTGTAATGGGAGGCCAAAGATGATCTAAGTTAAAGTTCTCTTGCATATTTAGACTGAGACTTTAAAAGTCACTGTGGCCCATTATTCTGATACGAATGAAGTCTGAAGGAGTTGCCTTCAGAGAAGGAGGGGCTCAAGAAATTGTGGTGGTGTGAAAAGATGACTGTACCAAACTGCCTTTGGGTGCCCCAGAATGCTCTAGTAGCATCACATTTGTCTTCAAATATTTTTAAGGTTCTGGCTTTCATCAAGAGGATGATGCAAATTCTGACTTCCCTCAAGACACCAGTTGCCATGAACGGAACCTTACTGAGGACCAATTCCTCTAATAAATAAAAATCAGAAATTTGGTCCTTAGGAGTATTTTTCCAAAGCTGCTAAATTCTCTACAAGGAGAAAGTCATACCATATTATAAAATCAGTTCAGAGTATTTCTGTTTGTAAGGAAAGTGGTGACACAGACTTGGGAGAGGTGCATGGTCTACTCTGATACAGTCTTTCATCACTGATCACTCTGAAAGCACATCTCCAAATAAAATTTATAAGACTCCATCAAATAGTTGCCCATGGAGTCTTTGGTGCTCTCCGAGCTTGGTGGTTTGCTTGCAGACGTTTCATGACCCGACTAGGTAGCATCATCAGTGTGAGGGACTGTGGGGTTTGCTCCCTGTTTATATTGCTCCCTGTTTCCCACACTCCCTCGCGCTGATGATGCTACCTAGTCGGGTCATGAAACGTCTGCAAGCAAACCACCAAGCTCGGAGAGCACCAAGGACTCCACCGTTCAACCCTGATCTACATATTTTCTCTTTGTTGAAATAGTTGCCTGTTTGGGACTAAAACGTCCTGGGTGGATTCCAAGATCCCCTTTTTTTGTTGTTTTCTTCCAATCACTTTTGCTGTATTTGGAAAATCTCCTAGTCAGGTGGGAAAACATCTTTAATTTCTCAGTTTGGTCTCCTTGACATTATTTCTGAGGGAGGGAATTGTTCAGGGTAAAAATGCTTTCTGGATCACATTTCATGCTATTATAAGTCCTTCAATTCCTTTTGCCTTTCTCTGGGAGACATTTTGGCCCTGCCTTCTGGGGACTGTACAGTGCTAAAAGGATCCTCGCAGAAGGTCCAGATGCTGTTGGACCGGGACACAACTGTGTCTACTGATGGTCGTTTGTAAGCTGATCAGAAACAAAACAGGCTGTGAGATCCTGAGCATCTGCCTCAGTGTTGTAGGATAGGAAAAAGCTGTTACTTTCAGTTAAACCTGGGTTGGCTTTATGCGGTGCCGGGTGGATGTTAACAGAAAATAAAAATCCTTCCCTTTGAACATCTCCTTTTCTCCTTTACTCATTGCCAGGAGTCTCTTGTGGTTTGTTCTGAAAATGCTCCTTGTGTATCTCACGTACAGGGCTTGTGAGAAGAAATGGGTCCCTGATTAAGAGCCTGCAACTCGGGTGTGAACCGAACGAGGCTGAGAAGACAAGGAAAGCTCAGATGAGCTCCGGGCCCGGCCCGGCCCGGCCCGGCCCGGCCCTCCTCTCTAGCTCCAAGGTTTTCAGGCCACGCGCACGTGGCCCCTCAGAGCGAACCCCTGGCTGTATTGCTTTGCCCTTGGCTGGCAGGCGTGTCTCCTGGGTCACCCCTTTGCCTTGCTCATGCTTCGCAGGTGAGGCCACGCGGCCTAGCCCATAACAGGAAAGTAAAATGTGGGCAGGCTGATGCCTGAACAGCCCAAAAGCAAAACCATCAGCTCCCGCCACTTAGATAACATAAAAATGACCGTTCTTAAGGGGAAAGCCTCTTGCAAAAGGGAGTGGCTTTCTAGAGACTTTTGCAATGAAAGAGGGCAGCACATCTGTTTTAGGTAGATGGGAATTTGGGGGAAGTGCACCAGTCCCTTGGAGGGCCTGTGCATTGATTGGTGAGGAAGCCTACCTGAACATCTCCAGTACGCGTTTGGATCTGAGGAAGCCGTGCCGCAGTGATTTTGCAAACACAAGCATAGAATGGAGCATCGATAGGCTTGCTAGCAATGGGTAGCCTGGGGCTTGGGGTTGCCAGAGTGCTCCCCCCAATTTTTTATTGATTGATTGATTGATTGATTGATTGATTGATTTAATTTCTGTAGCCACCCATGTCAACCAAGTGACTCTTGGTTGTGCACAGTTGTGGTGACTGGGAGTGAGGTGGGAAATGGGGCTTGTACCCCTCTATGCTACAGCTTGAAAGGCGGACTCCCTTGAGATACCAGGACTGCAAACTGTGTAGCCCCTTATGGATTAATTCACCCGTTCAATTTTTATCCTGCTTTTCCTCCAAGCGCTCAAGGTGGCTCTCCTGGGGCCTTCCCTTCCCTTTCACTTTCCCTATGAGGTAGGTTGGGTGGGGGGCAGGGACTCATCCAAGGTCACCCAGTGAGTTGCATGGCTGAGGGCAGACTGAAGCTAGATTTCCGTGGTGTAAGTCCAGCCCCTTGAGTGCTACGTTATCCTACCCGGTGATTTCATTCCCTTCCACTGAGCTGTGAAATGAAAGGCAGCCCCGTGACCTGCAACCCATTACGTTTCTGCACACTCTTCTGATGCGGTCTCTTGTGCCCAGGTGGGAGCCGAGGACTTCAGTGGAGAGAGAGGTCTGCGTTAGCTCCACTCTGCTGGACTAGGCTCCCAGACCGCCCTGTCCTGGGACGAGACTTAGGGCTCCCTCAGCGCCGGAAAGCCAGGCCCTCTGGGGTCCAGCTGAGCCACGGAAGAGCGGGCTGCTGCAGGAAAGGCTCCCTGTTTAACACCTGGTCCTTTTCTCTTTTCCCTTTCTTTCTCATTTTTAAGCAGAACATGAAATCACGGTCAAGATAGAGGAAGACGCGGACCTGACGCCTTCCTTTCTCCGGCGCTCGTCCAGGAGAGCTGCTTCTGGTCGCGAGGCACAGCCGACTTCTGGGGCCCAGCGCATGAGAGAGAAGCAGCCTTCCCGATGTTTCAGCTCTGGGAGGCGCTTCCGTCAGAAACGGTCTGCGCTCAGCCCTGGGAAGGCAGATTCTGCGGCACTCCCGTTTAAGTGTGTGGAATGCCGGAAGAGCTTTGGCCCCGAGGAGCCACCGGCCCTTGAGGGCCAGCCCCCAACCACCTGCCCCGACTGCAGACAGCGCCTGCGCGGGAGAAGTGCGAGCTCCATGCATGCCAAAGACGCACAGGTCTTTGCTTGCGCCACCTGTGGCATCGTGTTCAGCCAGTGGTCTGTGCAGCTCGTGCACCAGAAGAGTCACCGGCAGGTCTGGAAGCACTGCTGCAAGGAGTGCGGGACTGGGACAGAAAGCCACCAGGAGTTCACAGAGCACCAGGGAGCTCACACCCTTGTTGGGAAGGCTTATGGCTGTGCCAGCTGCCCAAAGAGCTTCCTTTCCTCCTCTGAGCTTGAGGATCATCGGAGAACCCATGCAGTCGGCTGGCCCTTCATTTGCAACTGGTGCCAGAGCAGCTTTGCTAGCCAACAAATGCTCACCGCCCATCAGGAGCTGCACACGGCAGCAGTGAACAAGCTGTTTCCCCATGCCAAGCCCAACTTCTCCTTCAGCTGGCAAGAGTTCTTGGCCGAGCTGGTGAAGCTTTACCTAAGGAAGACTTCCAGTTGTTCCCCAGGGCGGGTGTTCACCAAATTCCTGCAGACGAATTCACAGCTGAAGCCTTACCCATGCACGCAGTGTGGCACGATCTTTTTCAGCCTCTGTGTCTCTGCCAGCCAGGCCTCTGCTCCTTCAGGAAAGCCGCTGAGCACACCAAAGACAGAGACAGACCAGACCTCCACCCCAGAGCAGCCGGATCCGTGCAACCTTTGCAGCAGCTGCTTTCCGCAGAAAAACTCGGCAAGGAAGCCCGTGCCCATCCCCAGCGGCGGGTATCCTTTTCCGTGCCCTCACTGCAGCCGCAGCTACGTGTACAGGGACACCCTCATCAACCACCTGCAGAGCCATTTCCTGGAAAAGCCCTTCCGGTGCAGCGTCTGTGACCAGGACTTTGCCCAGGTGTCGCTGCTGACTGAACACCTCAGCACGCACTCGGTGGAGCGCCCCTTCAAGTGCAGCCACTGCCCCAGGAGCTTCATGTTCCCCGGGCTGCTGGTGGAGCACCAGCAAGACCACGTTGGAGAGCTGTACTTCTGCACCTGGTGTATTAGGCGTTTTGGCCACCCGGCCCTGTTGAAGGAGCACCTGCTCTCCCACACAGCGGAGCGTCCCTTCCAGTGTGACCAGTGTGCCAGGAGTTACACACATCAGGCCCTGCTGGAGGAGCACAAAAGGAAGCACGCGAAGGAGGATCTGCACGCCAGAGGAGGGAAAGGAGAAGCAAAGGAAGCCTCTCCAGCCTGCGCAGGGGAGCCCCCCCTGAGCTAAAAAGGCTGGCTGGTGTATGGAGGCTGACCCTGGCTTGGAAGGGGGGGTGGCTCTGATCACACAGGAGCTCTAGAGCGAATCCGGCTGCCCTGCGCTGAAGCGTCGTCTTTTGCCATAGGACCCAGCCAGCGTCCCCAGTGCCTTGGTACCCAGCCAAGGTACCTCAGAACCCTTTGCCCGCCCCCCCTTTTTTTTTTGCTTTTCTTACTGCTATGGATTCCTGCCAGGGCCGCCAAAACCAGCAACTTTTTTCTTCCTAACTCTGGACAGCCGAGTATCTCACCAGCAACCGCTCTGGCATCTGCGGGCAGAGGACTCAGTGATCAGGCAGCAACAACTGTTCGGAGAGGGCAGGAAATTATTATAAAGTGGAAAATCAATTGATTTTAAAGATGTGTTGCAGTGGGGTGTATGAGAAATTTGGTGTGTGTGTATGTGGTGCAAGGCTAGGTGTACTTAGCCCAGACGGGCGTATAGTTTGGACGCTTTCGCTTTGCCCCTCCCAACCGATCCATCAGGAATGAAAAGTAGCTCCTGGCCCAGAGAAGAGGAACCCCTTCCCCTTGAGCCAGACTCGTAACCCTTTGGGACACTGAGGGGGATGTAGTCACGGGCATCAGCCTGCTTTGATCTCTATGAAAAAGTATTTCCGACCATGAGCAGCAGAAGGAGCATCTCCTAGCACTAAGTGATGTCTTGGTCCTCTGGTCTCCTACTTGTGAAGATACGTTGCCAGCTACCCTGTGGCACTGACATATTCTCCTCCACGCACTCGTTTTGGAGATGGGTTGGGGCCATGCCCTCTTAGAAGGAGCAGCGTCAGGGATGGGAGTTGAAATGAAAAAATTCTCTCTTCCTCCCACAGGCCACAATGGCACTGTGTGCACCATAACATCATTTGATCTATGACAGCATGGCGTGAACGTGGTCTCATTCCCCCTTCCCTCCAGATGCCCACAAGAGCTGGCAGGTGGTTGTGTCGGTTGGTGGCTCTTGGGGTAGAATTAAAATAAACCAGAGAAGGAGAACAGCAAGAAGTGGGTCCCCTTTGTCCCAGCACTTCGGCAATCTCAACGTGGGTGGAGACAGCCTTACCCCTAGAGCCAACCGGAGAAGGCTGTTCAAAGGGGGGAGCAACACAGCCTTCTCTCCGATCCAGCTGCGGATATCTTACATTTGTGGAGGTGCAGCTGTTTACCTCTCTGCCCCCTTAGAGTCAGGAGATTCCAGGATGCTGACGGAATAGTGTCTTCCCAAGGATGAAAGTGGCGATGAAGAGAGCTGACTTACTCTGCTCTTGAGATCATGTTTGTGATTATTTCTTAATGCTGTCAGCCACAGAATGGTAGAAAGTTGTGTGTGCATGCATACACAAATAGACCTAGTTGGCTTTGTTGTGAGAATCTCTGCGGCTGAATTGCTTTCAGATACCAGGATTAGAGAGGAAGAGGTCTGGGTCAGAATGATAGGAGATGTTTATTTTATTGTTATTATTAAATTTATATGCCGCCCATTTCCCCCAGAGGGTGACATAGATATAGGCCAACGCACCTGGATGGCCCTAGGCTTTTCTGATTTCCAGGTGAGAGGCTAATTGACACAAGGCTGCATTGGGGTTCAAAGGTGCCACCCCACCCTGTACCCACTAGAATGCTTTGATGCTCATGGATTTTATGACTCTTCGGGAGAATGAGGCCAATTATGATAAGAACAGGGCTTTGAAAAATACTTTGCTGGGGTTAGAAATTATGTAAAAAGTGCAGTACAGGTAGTCTTTGGGTTATGATGGCAACTGGGACTGCCGGGATCGCTGTCATTAAGCGATGCGGTCGTAAAGTGCGATGTCACGTGACCGCATTACTTAGTGACGACAATCCTGGCAGTCCTGGTTACCATCATAATCCCGAGATGCGCAGATCGTTAAGCAGGAAGCAGCAGGAGTCCCAGATAAGGAGTGTGGGGGTGCCATGGGAAGTTGCTGCAGGGCAGTGGGGGTGGCCCTGGGAGGCCCAACGCAGGCCGTATGCGAGCGCACGGAGGCCAGGGGAAGCAGGGCGCAGTGCCGTGTGAGCGCAGGGAGGCTGGGGGGACTTACCAGAGCGACTTGCGACCTTCCCTGCCAGCTTCCCCATTGACTTTGCTTGGGGGAAGCTGGCAGGGAAGGTCACAAATGGCGATCATGTGGCCGTGGGGCGCTGCAACTGCCGTAAGCGTAGGCCGGTTGCCGAGAGCCTGAATTGCGATCATGTGACCACGGGGGTGGTGCGACGGCTGGAACTTTGAGGACTGGTTGTAAGTACCACTCGTTCAGTGCCATCACAACTTCATACGGTGCCTGAACGAGTGGTCAGTAAGCGAGCACTACCTGTATACCAAAAACTTGCTGCCTCGGTCCGTCAGTGTGTTTTATTTTTCGTGCTTGTATAGGCCTGAAATCACTGACAAGATTTGGTATCTGGTGGAGATTTAATAAAGCTTCCCTTTGTGCAACGCTTGAAGCCGGTTCTCAGCTCTCATGGCGGACAGCCTTGTATTGTCTTTGTGATGCTCATGGCGGGAGAGCACTTTCCGGATGCTGCTGCTTCCCTCCACAACTCCCAAGCAGTGGCTTATTTGGAACGCAGCAGTCTCAGTGTCCTCTTGGTGAAGCTTCAACTTCTCTAGAGTCCCTAAATATATTGGGATCCCACACAGACCAGAGTATTGGTTCCACGTTCTGCTGGTGGACAGGCTGCTCTGCCTTGCTCGGCCCTTGCAGGACGCTCGCTGGATCCTGCGTCTTCCTCAGCATCCGGCTTCTCAAAATGGCCTTCGATGCCAAGGCTGCTGGGGCCGTTTTTGTGCCTGGAGATTGCGGAGGAGGCCACCACCACCATCACCACTGGATCCCTTCTGTTTCTGAAGACCCAGTCCTCAGCTGAGCCACTGAAGAAACAAGAACTCTGCCAACTCTTTGCTACCTTCTGAAGGGCAAAGATTGCGTCCTCCTGCCTTAAGTATTCTTAAATGTGTACTGAAGAACTAGGATAGATTATGTAGATAAGAATAGGTCTAAGGAGATGGAATATGTTGATTCCATCCCCCAGAAAATGCCTAAGTTCCTAGCGACCTTCTAAATAACGGACTGTATTTCTGTTTGGTAGAACTTGGGGGCATCTATGTGATGTGACATTACGTGTTGTCATCATGCACATGATATAACTGGTTGATGGCCATGACATGTGATAGCGCTGTAACTTCTACCAGGATCCTATGGCAAGGGGGATTGTTGTTAAGTCCATATTTAAAGATGGATACAGAGATTCTGTAGAGTGCAGCAGTCGTGGCTTCTCCCAATTGCCTATTCATACTGTGGTGTGATCTGTTGGTGAACCCACTGGATTCATGCTTGTGCTGAATTGTCATGGGTTAAGCTTGAACCCAGCGTGCTTCTGCCAAAACGGGGGCCTGGGATCGAGCAGAATATTACTGTGAGATAGACTGACGCGGCCAGGTTGGTGAGTGGGAGCGAGGTGTTTTTACTTGCTGAGCAACAGGAGTTGCAGATTGGAAAATGAAGTGAGAAGATACCACTAGTGGCAGTTAACAGCCACCAAACATAAAACAAGTGAGATGTGATAGGCTGAGTGGCTTGGCAAGTGTGCGACGCAAAGGCTCTCTCTGGTTCAGGCTACAGAATATAAAAGCATTTTAGCTGGTGTATTAAGGGTGAAACGTATCGTTCGAGGATGGCCACCTTAAGCTCAGCAAGGGCAGCATTTCAAGAGACCCCGGGCATGCTCAGCCAGGGTCTCTTCAACTATGACGGGGAAGCGGGGGCCGCGGTACTACACCCTATCTGGCTGACAACCCCCTCCCCACACCCCAGCCAGGTAGTTTGCCTATTGTATTTTTCTGCTGTTTTTCTGTTCTAACTGCACACCGTGGGAACCTGGTAGCTAAGAGCAGGCAAAGACATTCTCTGCCTGGAACTAAATCATTTTCCTTCTCCTGCCCAACGGCGTGGCTGAAGCAAAGCCAGCTTCCTAGGAAACTGGATCTTGTGACTTCACAGTTGGGTGACTTTCCGGATATTCTGTGGAATAGGGAGGAAGGGAGGAAAGAACACCCTCTCCTTTATGGCATCTCCAGGCCAATGCATATATAACATGCTGGTACTCTCCAGAGGTCTCAAATGCACATGCTGATTTGATCTGGGTTGTTTTGGGAAAAAATCCTGATTTTACTCTAAGCCAAATCTACCCCATACTCTTGGTTCCTCGCTAAAGGACCCCTGGTCTATATAGGTCAGCAGTCCTCTACTCGGTGCCCACCAGAGGCCACGTTGGCAGAGGGACTCTCTCACACACCTGAAGGACACCGGGTTGGGAAAGGCCACCCACAGCCAGCTTTAGGTTGGCCTCGTTACGTTCCTTGTCCCCACGCAAAGCGGCAGCTAATAGATCGTAAAGGAGCCGGCCACCTTTCGCCCTTGAAGCAGAAACTCGTGCCGTAGAGAGCGATCCAGAGGAGTGGCACCAATCATTTATTAATGTCTCCCCCCTTGTTTTTCACTTTAGAAAGCTAAAAGGTATTTGTAGCAAAAGCTGTCGATCCCGGTCTGTCTCCAGAATGCCGTCTGCTGCTTTGATAATAGTGCAGTTGAGTTTAAGGCGTGAGAGCCTGGTGCGGAAGGGGGCTGCAGAACTCTGTGGGTCGGCCGCAGCCTTGAACTCCCCTGCAGAGCCCTCTTCTGCGGGGGGGGAGGGGGCATCCAGGGCTGGAGAGAACGATGGGATCGTGGTGAGAAGCGGACTCGGGGATGCTGCACAACCCAGAGAGGAGATTCTGCAGAACTGCCTAAACAGGCAGAGGGCAGAGTGGATAAGGCCTCCCGGTCTCAGCAACAGACCACGGAAAACCACGGCCAAACGTAGGGCCAGACCTTCTGCAGGACCACTTTTTGGCACAGGATGTCTCTGGCAGGAAAGTGGAAGACACGGAGTTCAGCAACGCATCTTGATCAAGACCAGGGGAAGAGAAGGAAGGGCATCTCCCAGGAGCGGGCAGCCCCTCGAAGCGGCTCCTGTGGTGGCAGAAGACGGAGCTGTTCGTGGGAGACTCCGGAGGTTTGTCTGGGGACGGCTGCCCTGCGTCGCCCTCCGGAGAAGAGAGGCAGACTGCTGGAGACGGTCAATCCCCTTGCTTTCTGGCTTTCTCTCAGGTTGGTTTTCTCAGGTGGGGCATGTTCATGCCCTGAAAAGTTTGCATTAGTTTTGCAGCGCTCTCTGTATACAAAGTGCTTTAAAATTCTCATCTGATCACCTAACAAATGGTGGAGGGCTAGGCCGGGAGACCACAGCCCTGCAAGGCCACGGGATGAGCATCAAGGCCCGTGTCTTCCTGCAGGCCGAGGAAACCGGGGCCGTGGGACGCAGCTCCACACCCTTCCTTTCTATCCAGCAGTCCTGCCTCCAGTGCTGGACTGGGTACTGGGACCAATACGGTAAACGGACATGATCGCATTTTAGGCGTTTTCCATCTGGCCAGGACTCCCAGCACCTCAGACTAAAAGGTGGGGTGGTTAGAGTCGCTGGACGGCTTTCTTGATCAAAGAAGTATGTCAAAAACTGGGTTTGCTGTGACAGGTGGGAGCTGGGCTTGTTCCACAGGACCAGAGCCTGCCCCATACGGTCCGGACTGGCGAGAAAGAAGCAAGCTTCCCCGTGGGGAGAGAAGAAGCACAGAAGCCACCGCCAAAGGGGGCCTCAGCCGACCCACCTGGGGGGCCAATCCTCCCAAGGGTCTGCTTCTAGCCCACCTGTTCATTTGGTGGAGGAGGCCACGTCTTGTGGCCCAGCTTCACGTTCCGCTGGGCGGGCGGGCTTCAAAGAGAGGGTCCTTCTCCAGAGTGCTGACGACTGGCAGCCTCTGCGGCAGAGCGGGCCCAGCTGCCAGTGGCGGGGGCGGGGGCTGCTGCTCCCCGTGCATGCGCAGGTGTTGCTTGAGGGACTGCTTGTAGCGGAAGCGCTTGCCACAGTGCGGACAGGCGTACGGGTTCTCTCCCGTGTGCATCCGCTGGTGTTCCAGCAGGTACTTCCTGCGGGCAAAGGTCTTGAGGCATTCCGTGCAGCGGTGGCGCCTCTCGCCGTTGGCGTGGCTAGCCTGGTGGCTGAGGAAGGCCTGCGCGTGGCTGAAGCTCTGGCCACACTCGCGGCATGAGTACAGCTTGGCCCCAGCCTGGTGGACGCTGCTTTGGTGCTTGACCAGGTGGTGAGCTCGCACAAAGCGCTTGTCGCACTGCCCGCAGCGGTACGGCCGCTCCCCGGTGTGGATCCGGTAGTGGTTGGTCAGCTTGGACTTTTCGGCAAAGCGCTTCTCGCACTCGGGACACTGGTACGGCTTTTCTCCAGTGTGGGTCCGGGTGTGATCATCCAGGTGCTGCTTTCGGATAAAGGTCTTGCTGCACTGGGGGCACTGGAAGGGGCGGGGTCTCTCGCGGTGGGTCTTCTGGTGGACCACCAGGCTGGACTTGCGGTTGAAGGCTTTGTGGCACTCCGAGCACTGGTGGGGCCTGTCGGCGTGGACGGCCTGGTGCCGAGTGAGCTGCCCTTGGTGGCTGAAGCCACACCCGCACTCGGAGCACACGAAGGCGCTGTCGCTCTTCCCCGCTGTGTGGGTTTTTTGGTGGATCAACAGGCTGGTCTTCAGCCGGAAACTCTTCGGGCAGAGGGAGCAGGCGTGGGGCCTCCCGGCTGCTTCGGAGACCGACAGATCGCCGAAGCCGCTTTTATATTCCGAGCACAGGTAGGCCTCGGGGACCAGGGAGGCCCCAGCCTCGGCCGCTGGCCTGGCCGCTTCCCCGTATGTCTCCTCTCCGGCATGGAGCCTCTGGGGCTCCTCCCGACTCTTGAAGCATCTCGGCAGGCTTTCCTTCAGGCAGGCAGCTGGCAGGGCGGCCTCGGGTTCGTGGCAGCTTCTCTTGCCATGGGGAGGCTCCTCTGGCCTTTGGGGGAGGCGGGGGGCAGGCGGATCCTGCGGGCAGCTTTGCCTGTCGCAGCACCTCGGGGCCTGGAAGACCTCCTCGCTGGGGATGCCCTGCAGCCGCCCGGGCCCGGGCAAGGCCTGCCTGAAGCCCTCCTGGAGCTTCTGCCCCTCGCTCTTGACCGCGGTGCTCTCATCTGGGGGGGGAAGCCTCAGTTAGAGCCCCTCTGCTGGAAGCGGCAGAAGCCACGTCTGAGCCATTGCAGCCCCACCCCTTGGGAAGCCTCATCAGAGGGGGTCCGTGCGGAGAGAAACGGGCAGGGGTGCAGCGAAGGGGAGGGGACGTTCGAGGTCGTTTTTGGAGCGAGAGCGCAGCCGCGCAGATGCTTTGCGTGACAAAAAAGCCCCAGGCACAAATCTCTCCATCTTCCGCTCAAAGGCTCTGGGAGCAGGTTGTGGGGAAGCACGCCCTGCCCGAGGTGGCCTTGCAGGGCCCGTCTTGCCCACCGGCGGAGGGAATCCTGAGAGTCTGACCTGGGAGACGGTTGAGCAGGTGTCTGGGTTAGGGTGCCGATCTTTGGCTTGGCTGCTCAACGGATTAAAAGGGGTGGTGCAGCATTTCATTCCTTTTTCAGAAAATGCAATTTGGCACTTCGGAGACAGTGGCTTTCTTACAAGCAGCATTTCTCCCTCTTCCTGCCCCCCAGAGGAAATACTCTTCTACTCACACTGGTATCATAACCCTCCCGCAAAGTGTTTCAGCTCCAGAGCAATGGCTTTATTCTTACCTGCATTCTGCAGAGTCAATCAATTAAGAGGCCTGTGCTTAGGGGCTTAAGGAGAGCGGCTGTGAATTGTCTAGGTGCACTGAGCAGCGATTCCCATGTTCTCATCCCAATGGAAAGGCAGCCTCTCTTGACTACTAAAGAAACAGGAAACAGGAGGAGGGGTCTCTGCTTTTGAGGAAGGCGGCCTTTTAGAGCACACTCACCATAGCCAAGGGCGGCAGGGACCTCTCTCTCCAGATTCCACTTCCCATGGCCAGGAGATTCCTCCTGCTTAATCCAGGACAAGAGGTCATCCTTGGAAGCCAAAAGCTCTGCCCCTAGGAAAGAGGAACACAGGCCTTTCCAGCTGCGGCAGAACACAGAGACGCCTCCGAGAGGCACGCAGCAGCAACAGACGTGAACAATGGATTGCACTGGAAAGCTGGGGAAGGGGGGAAAGGAGACCCGTGCCTTTGTCCACCGAGCCAGGCCTGTTCTCAGAAGCAGTGGGAAAGGTGAGCCTTTCCTTCACACCAATACGTAAGCTGTCAGTCCCTCTCACTTTGGAGGCATTCAGGAACACGTCCAAATCAGCATGAAATCCCCCAACACTTGCAAGACCAAGGCTGCCTTCCTAGATGCCCAGTTCTTGCCCTGCACTGGCTGGTAGACTCAAGCCCCAGGGCCTAACCCAGCCCACCAGGCGTTCCCCCAAATCCCTGCCCCTCTCCAGCCATGCAAACCATCCTGGCCAGGAAGGGCGTGCGGTCAGTCTTGCCAGTGGTGGCCCTGGGCTTCTCCACACAGGGGAAAAACATGGCAGATCAATCCCAGCGCTAACTAGCAGCCTGCATGCTCCCCGCCTGAAGAAGGCACGGGCTGGCTTCTCCTCCAGGGGACAAACTCCCCTGTGCCTGAGAAGAAAGGAATGGCAGCTGCCTCCGTGCTCCCGAGAGAGGAGTCCTGCGTACAGGAGGAGGTGGTGGGGCAAGATTGGGGGCCAGGGCTCTGCGGAGCAGAAGGGCCTCCAATGTCATCCAGGCTGCTGCGGGGGAACCGAAATGGCCCCATTAACAGCTTAGGGGACATGGGACGTGAGGTTGCCACTGGAGCTGGAGCCAGGGTCGCCTGCTGAGAGAGAGAGAAAATAAAAAAAAATGGGAATAAACCCTCTCCCTGGCGTGCTCCCACTGCCAACTAGATCCAAGCACCTCAAGCTGTGGTCCCCCCGATGCCCTGCCCTGCCCTGCCCGGGGGTGCGTTCAGACCAAACACAACTGCCTGGCTTTGGACCAGCACAGCTGCAGAGCATGTGATATTCCTGGGCTCAGCAAACGTCACCAACCAAGCCCTGCCCCTAATTGGGCTGCCAGCTTTTTGCAGGAAAGCAACTGACAAAACGGACGTGTTTAAGCAAGAGATAAACCTCCAGTCCTCCCGTTGCAGCCCCTGCATCTGTAAGACCCTTTCCCAACCTGGTGCCCACCAGCTCCACTGGATTACGTGCCATCATAACCAGCATAAGGAAGGCAGAGATTACAGTTCAGTACCAGTTGGGAGGGCTGGCCTAAAGAGACCTTGTTTAGTGGGAAGTGAAATCCAACTGTGCCAGCCCCCTCCAGGCCCCTCATGGTCTCTGATAAAGGGACACGGAGACTATTGGGCTTAGTTTCATCAGCTTCACGGAGTTATGAAAAAGTTGGGTAAAAAAACTGGTTTAAAAACAAGGACCGCTGTGGTCAGGGTAGCCATCTGAGAGCTAAACCCAGCCCTTCTCTGCTCCTGCTCTGAATTTCACGCACCTATTTTGGGCTCTGTGAGGAGTCCCTTTTCCCCCACAAACTCCTGATCCACAACATGGGGAGCTTCCACTAGACCCACCTGTGGGGGGAGAACATCAGCTTTGGAGATGGCAGAGTCTGGAAATGGAAAGAAAGCAGAGACGTTTAAGGTATCAAGCCTGCCCGTTGCTGGCAACTGTCCAAGGGGAGCCTGGGAATGTTCTGCAAGCTGGTGCCCTGTGAGAGAGGCCCGCCCCAGTCCAGCCACCCTCGCGTTCTCTCTGGGTCCTCTCGTGATGCAGCATTCTCCCACCCCATCGCAGCGGCTGCGGCGGGACACGCTTGGCATCCAATGCTTATGTTTTTTCTGCTTCCTTTTATAATTGTCGACCAGCTTCTTATTTGATGTTATTCCATCATACAGACACCATTTAAGATTGTTGTTCTGTAATGAGGTGTCTAAAGAGATAACAAAAATTGCCAGCAAGGAAAAGTCCAGCCCTTACCAAGTGAGATCAGGGGTTCGTAATTTCCTTTTGTGATGTTCCTGTAAAGCTCCTTCTGCCAATCCTCCAGTTTGGCCCATTCTTGTGTGGAAAAGTTCACAGCTGCCTCCTCCTCAAAAGTCACGGGGACCTAAAATCAAAGCCAGGCCACCAAGACCTTAACCGAGGTCGCCTCCCTCACTGCCACCGTCCTTTGCAGCCAGCAAAGAACAACACCCCCCACACCCATCCCCAGCAACCCCCTCAGTCTCATCGGATGCTCGGAGTATTCCTTGTGCTCAGTCTGAGGGCAGTTCCTGTGTCTTAATCTGAATGCTGTATTTTGCTCCAGGGCACTTCCCTCAGCTAAAGTGTTCGTTTCATTTGTTAATCCACTGCTCAGAATCACACCTTCTGGCTCTTATCTTCTGCTAGCGGGCAAAGTGGCCGTGCCAGCCTCCCACTCCCCACCAGGCCAGGGCATTCTGCTCCGGCAAGCTTCTTGCTCAAGAGTTCAAACAAGGGCTGCTTCCACTGGTGCACAGGAACATCTTACTGGGAACATTTTGCTTGTGGCTGGGAAGCCCCACTGAACTCGCTGCCTGTTCTGTCTTGCCAAGGGCACTTCCAGTAGACCAGGGAAGTCCCTCTGTTCAGAACTGTTTCACCCAATCAGCTGGATGCCCAAGGCAAAGCCCACAAGCCTCCCATTTCCTGCCAGCCAACTTCTCTCCTAGCCTGTATACCTTATCTTGGACCAGCCCAGTGAATGGTCTGGGCAAACGAGGTTGGTGAAGATGCAGGGCGAGACCCTCCTGGGCATGCTCTGTGCAAAGCAGAGGTGCCATCAGGGAGCAGCACCTCCTTCTGCAGCTGCCCGAGACCTTGAGAGGCTACAGGCTAGGACAAAACCTTATTCTAAGCCAGACCTTTGTTCCATCCAGGCCCATGTGCTCTACACAAACAAGCAAGCCACCCCAGCGTCACATGGAGTTTTCCCAGCCAGCCTGACGCAGACGGAAGCCGCGCCCTTGCATGCCTCTTCTCGTGCAGCATTCATTTGGCTTTTACCTTGGGGATTTCCCCCTTCGGGCCCAGGGGGAGCCTCAAAATCCAGAAGTTACGGTTCTTCAGGAGGTTCTCCATGTTCTCCAGTCTCCTCTGGAGCACCCGGTATTCCTGAAGGAGAGTCCCCAAGGCAGCCAGGTGGTTGCTGAACTCCAGCTCTGTTTTCTCACACTCAAAGATCTTTTTCTCAGCAGTGGCCGTCCTGCCTTCCAGGTTTAGCAGCCGTGTGGCAGAGGAGTCCACCTTTCTCTCCACAGCCTGGATGGCAGCCACCACCGTCCACAGGGAGATCTCAGCCGCTGGGTAGAGCTCTCTCTCGGCAGGCTGGTCAAAGATGGCTGGAGGCTGGAAGGAGGCCAGGTGCTGTGGCTCTACATCCCATTCCCAGGCCTGGGGGAGGAAGGGGGAAGGCCAGAACTGAGCAACCACGCTTGGCAAGGGGAGGAAGGGTCAGCTGGGGACAGAGAGGAGAAAGGAAGTACTGAACCACCAGAAAGTGGAGAGCAAGGGGGTGGCAAGAAGAGGCAGGGAAACTCGGCACAGGATGATGGAAATGATTCAATCGTGGTGGCTTCCAAGCTGCAGTGGCAGCTGACAGCCTTGGCCCAGAACCTGCAGTAGTTTGGGGCCAGCACAGCATGGGGCTGGGGCTTAATGGTCATCATGATGCCAATTTTCATCCACAGGAAGTACTGAAGAAAACCTGCCTGGGTCCCCACTGAGGCTAAAATGGCCTTTCCCTCCAGATACAGTAAGACTTCTGGCTGTGAATTCTGGAATTTAATTTCATTTAATGTTTTATTTAATAGATTTGCTGACCAAACTTCAAGATACAGGTAGCTTACTACAACATAATGAAATAGAATAAAATTCTACAGTGAATAAAATAACACAATATGAGACACAATGGAACCTATCAGTAATATATTAGCAGAGTCGGAGTCGTAACGCTTCCTGGAATATGCGCGGTTGGGCTAAAGTGTTTTGTTGTTCTGATGCTTCTGCCACAAACATTCAGACTGATTGCTGGTTCCCGAGAAAGTCCAAGTGTCGGCTTGCAGCATTCATTTCGTGCAGAAGCTACAGTTACGCCACATTATGACATCACCTCACCGATGATGCCAATCACAGAGCTCACATCATCTGCATGATGATGACATGTGATGACTTGCAATGATGTCATGATGTGTGCGGTGTCATTTCCCTACATGCACAGAGGCACCCAATCCTCTACTCCCAGTCTAAGCCACTGGCTAAACGTGGAACGCTGTCATCTGGGTTACATGGACGAGTGGACCTGTGGGAATTCCCACCTACTGGGGTTGGCGGGTGGGAGGGGACCAACCCTCACAGCGTTTTTACTCCTGTAACGTCCAGCTGTGATTGATTTCCCTCGGACAAAGCCGGCAAGGCAGTTTGTTTAGAAATAAATGGCTATGGCGGGCTGCCGCGTGTTTCCCCAGGCACTGAACAACCAGAGGATGGTGGGAGTACAGTACGAGAATGGGGCTGTGGGGTGGACGGGCTGGCCAAAGTCACCCGTGACCCAGGGCTGCCCACGTTCCGGGCAGATGGCATGGGATGTGCTTCCTTTTGCTTTGTGGTTGAACATGAGCCCAAGGAGGGACCTCTGCGCCTCCTCTGTCGTGGCGCCTGCCCTGCGGATCAGCCTCCCCCCCCGGGCCCTGCTGGCCTGCCCTGCGGCCCTGGAGACCTAGACATCGCCACCGGCACTTAGCTGGCTGCTTCTCGGTCGCTTCGCTTCTGGTCCTTGTGGACCCGGCGGGCGAGGATTCGGAGGCCCTGGGCACACGTTGCGAACTGTCTCGTCGCCTTTGGCTTGGGCCCGTGGGGTGCCGCCCAGAGGCGCTGCCGGGCCTGGCTTCTCGTATCCTTCGGCGGGGATCCAGCCCTCCACAGCAAGGCCGAGGCAGAGGAGACCAGAGCCACTTGGCCACCGCCGTGCAGCCAGGCCCCAGGGCAGAAAAGCCCTCCAGCGAGGTGCCAGGGCTTCTGTGCCCACCGGGGCCGGGCACGCGACGGTGGCGAGGCGGCTTGGGTCTCCC